AAACAGCCATCAAACAACTCAAATAAATTTGCCCAAAACAACCATCAAATAACTCAAATTAATAACCACAATACTAAGTCATTTATTTTCTACAAAAAAAGTTATCCAATATCAAAATTAAATTCGTCAACTTTATACTAAATATTGATTGATTATTTCTTATAAAAAGTCATCAAATATATATTGATTGATTATTTTCTATAGAAAAACCATCAAATATAAAAATAAATTCACTCATTTTATATCATATATTGATAAATTTATTTTTAAATATAATTTTTTTAAAACAAGAAACAATTATTATTTTAAAAAATAATCAACCACTCTAGAGTCTAGATTTTCATCCCCAATTTTTTAGCCGTATAGTTGTACAAGTATCCTCAAAATAGTTCATTATCTTGTTCGAGGCCAATTTCTCTTTGTCAGCGCTTGCTTGCAGCTGTGGAGTCGAGACTCTCTTCGTTCGTTCTCTTTTGCCGTTAAGTCTTGTGTTTATATTATCTTTTCTCTTATTTGTTAATGCGAAGTAGAATATATGGCCTTTTTCTGGCAGGGTTTGTGCTTTAGGTCATCTTCACGTGTTTGAAGCTCTTTCCCTCGGATGATCCCGATGCTTATTTCATTAATTTCTTGTTAACTTTCTCTCTGTGTATGTGTGTGCGTGTGCGTGTGCATCTTAGCCTCATTTTGCTTAAACTGTGCAGTTGACGGGGTTGTGGTGGGGTGGCGTAGGCAGGTAGTGTTGTATGATAATTTGTGTTTTATCAGAAGTTCTTTTATAGGGTTTAAATTTGTCGATGGTTTGCCTGATGGGTTCGGAATACTTCGTTTTCTGGAATTTTACTTCGTTAAGTTGTGATGAAGATTCTGAATTAAAATCTAGAAAAAAAAAAGCTTTTGGAAGATATCGATCTTCCTCAAGCAACCATGTGTAACGTTTGGAAAATTGGCAAAGAATCTATTCCAAATAGATTCAAAGATTGAAGAAAGTTGCCTTTTTGGTGTACCTAGTTGCACAAGGAAGTATTTTATCATGGAGTAAGGAATTTCATGAGTTTGTTCTCCCAAGCTATGTGTTAAGAGACTCATTCTTGAAGGGTACTTCTATATCGCTATTCATGTCATTCAGTTTTTGTTTTTGTAACCAAAAGTAAGAAAAAAATATCCTGTTTTTGCCCCCTCCAATTACCATTTCTCTATAGGGTAAAGGAGAATTGGATTTGTTTTTTAATTGCACTGTAGTAGGCTGTTTTGCTATATTTTTCTTCCTATGTGTTAATATGTTTGTCAGAGTTTTTATTAACCTCCACAAAGGTAATGTTTAGGATTTCTTGTTATATTTGATTAGGCTGGTTGTCGCTGATCTTAATACTTGACCTTTGTCGTACTTCACGTTTCCAGAATCGAATTTTTTATGTGCTGCTTGAGCATAGCATATCTAACAACAATACATTTTTTTTTTATAAACATTTTTCAATTCTAATCTTGCTGCAGTTTGGCTGCAACCCCTAAGTGTTTCCATATGACTGGAAACTCAAGAAATGTTTTAATGACTTTGTTATCTAACATAGCATATTGCCTGCAATTAAGATGTGCATTTTAAGGTGTTGTATTGTATTTTATTCTCTTTCCTTTTTCATTGTGTAGGATCTATCTAACATTAAACTCTAGATTTGATTTATCATGAATGGTAGACAGCTTAGTACAATTCAGCCGTTATACATATCTTGCTCTGAATTCTCTTCAGTATCTCAGTTTGTTATTACTGGTAGATGAAGAATGCTGTTGAACACAAATTTATCTAGTTTTATCAACAAATATCATTGGTATTCCTACAGTAGGTATTGAATTCATTTGGGAACCTATTCAGGAAAGACCGTCTGAATTTGCAAAAGTATCCTGCTATGGATTTCAAAGGTATAACTTGGGCTGGGAATATATATCAGAAGTTTGAAGCTATGTGCTTGGAAGTGGAAGAGGTTATGTATGAGGTAAAGCCTATTATTCCCTTAGTTTATTATGCAACTGTGTTCTTCAATTTCGGTGTCATTCATTTATCGTTTGCTTTGCTGTTATACCTTATTTCTTTTGCCATTAGGTTTCCTGCTATAGCCCTTGTACATGTTTCTTGTGCATTATCTTCCACAGTTCTTCTACACTATTAAAAATAGTAGGTGCAAATATATCTCTTATGTGAATATTTCTGATATTCATTTCCCTCTAGGAGCTTTCACCGATTATGTAAAAGTATTTGTTTTTTTATTGTAAAGCTAATTTGACCAATTTGGATGCAGCAGCTTTATATTAATCCCTGTCATTCCTTGATACTTAACTTGGACGAGGTATTAAATTTATAGACACTGATTTATACATATACAGTAACAATTTTTTTTT